CTAGTTCTGTAATTTAATACAAATGGACAGAAACCTGAACTTGCATGGACCCCCACTGAAATCATACATAAATCGTGTATGTCCGCATTAAGTTTCTTGATGCAATTTGGATTATATAGGTAAGATATGTAAGTAACTGACGTCAAAAGAAAAAGCTGGAAAAGATGGCAAAGGACTTCTCTGACCCTCTGAAAGAGAATGAATCTTCCATTTACCAGAATTTGAAATTGAAATACATGGCTGAATTCCAACATTCTTTGAAATAATTAAGTAAATAACACATGTCACCAAATTATCAAAACTTGTAACTTTTTTTTCCCAGTGAGAACTTCCTGAAAAGTAGGAGGTGGTTAAAAGTAGAAGGGAAGAAATATTTGTGAAAAGTATCATAACTGCTGGAGTCTCTGTTGATTCTGAATTTTCAAAGAGGAAGGAGTGGGGTTTCTTAAATATTTTTGTAGAAATTGAAATTGCCCTGAAAACAATATAAACCCATAGGACTTCTGTGGTATTATATTACTTGTGTACCAAGGACTTCAAGACAATTTGTTAATATCCATGTTGCTCTGTCAAACAAAGCCTTTGCTTTGCACATACACATATATATGTGTAATTTTAAGATTCTATTTCTCTTTCTAATCTAAAGTACACTGTACACCCTTAACACTGAAATACTGTAATGCTGCTGTTTACATTTAGGATATAATGCATACTTTATGCAATACAGATGGTTGGGATAGGATAAGTATCAGACAAATAATTTCCACGTTCCCACTGAACGCAATTCATGGAACGCTGGATGCTACTAACAGACTGCAACAGGAAGAAAAACTAAAAACTACCTTCTCCTACAGTACTACTGCTAGATTAATACTCTTTTTCTGTACTTCAAATATTGACTTGAATAATCTATTTTCTTGAGACCTAGCACATCTCTCCACGCAGTCACCTATGGAGTATTTCAGCAGTTTCCTGGACCAGAAGTGAGCATGTCACTTAAGTTTTCCTTCCCATATGTTTACCCAAAAGAGTATGGTCACAGCCTTTTTTAATACTGCCAGTAATACTCACATGAAAACTAGCTCTTGATGATGCATGGATTTTTATTTCTAGCAGGAAGAGATAATTTAGTAGGTGTACTTCCTCAGGGGAGCCTGCAAAGTAATGGGAGCAGCAGGGCAGAAAAAAGTTCAGGCTGCCTTTTCTAGACAACTATGCATGCCATTAGTGGGGAGTGAGTGAGCCATATAGGTCAGTGTCTCAAATAGTGCGTAAAAATGTTACCCAAAGGAGTCAGAGCATTCTACTGCATTTGTGGGGTTGCACTGCCACCTGGTGCAGTCCTCAGCCATTACAGTCTCTGCCCAGCGCTGGGTTTGGTTTTTTTTTGCTTAAAACACCTGCCAAAGGACTACAATGGGAAGATGCTGTTACAAATACTGACAGTTTGGTTTGGTCATATTAATAGATATGAATATGTTAGCATATGGGTACGGGATCAAAAGCACTGAGGCAGGTCAGGGGGCATATGCCATGTCAGCTGAGTAACGGTAACAGACAAGGTACTTCATCTGCCAGAGCTGCAAAGAGGGCTGCCCGGGCTTCAGCTGCCAGGACAGGAGGTACTATAGGTTACTGTCAATTCACTGACCTGTACTGCTTCAGTCTTTGCAGCTGACTGTGTTTACGCCGCCAGGTGACCCAGGCTTGGCAAAGGGGCCTGTGCAGCCGGGCGGGTGAGGCAGCCTGCCGCCTGCCAGGCGGGCGCTCAGCGCGGCGAGGTACTTCTCTCCGGCCAGGCCTTCCTCACCAAGCAAAGCAACACGGAGGAGCTCTGACCAACGCGGCTGCGATGGAGAATCTCGTCCCAGAGACCAGGAGGTGACAACTAATGGCGAAAAGCTTAAAGAACGGTTCGTTTTTCGCTGCTTTCCAGGGCCTCATTGTATTCACACCCGTCTTTGAAAACAGAAAGCTAGAAACACTTAATGCCCCCAAAATCTGAGATTCTTGTGCCATCCAAGCCGACTTCAACTCGGTCCGAGGCCCCTTTGGCGTTAAAAACTCACTGACACACGTAAAACCCACTAGATCGAGGGTGACGACGCTGTTCAGCCGCCGCCCCCGCGGGCTGAGCCTCTCCTCCGCCTCCCGCCCCCTCACCGCCCTACGGCGCCGGACTACACTTCCCATGGTGCCCCCGGGCCGCCCCGCCCCGCTATTGGCTGGGCCGGTCGGAAGGGGCGGGGTGA